CTTCCTTGGCAGATGCTATTCCAGCGAGCGCCCCACAGCGAGACTGAAAGGCCAGAGCCGCGCAGGGGGGGGGGGAGGAGGAGGAGGAGGAGGGGGAGAAGAGGAGGAGGAGGAAGAGGAGGAGGAGTGGGAGGAGGAGGTTGAGGAGGAGGAGGGAGAGGAAAGTGCATGTTGAGGGGCAGGCAGAGCGGAGGAGGAGGAGGAGGAGGAGGAGGAGGAGGAGGGAGAGGAGGAGGGGGGAGGAGGAGGAGGAGGAGGAGGAGGAGGAGGAGGGGGGGAGGAGGAGGAGGGAGAAGAGGATGAGGAGGAGGAGGGGGGGGAGGAGGAGGAGGGAGAAGAGGATGAGGAGGAGGAGGAGGGGGAGAGGAGGGGGAGGGGGAGGAGGGAGAGGAGGAGGAGGAGGAGGAAGTGCCCGCTGAGGGGCAGGCGGAGCGCGGGGGACGTTCAGTGCCCGGAGGAGGCGGTGGGCAGCCCAGCCGCTGTGGGCGCTCCGTCCGAGGCTGGATTGCCTGGGTTTAGAGGAGAAGAACGAGGGGCCCCAGTGAGAGGTGCTTCTGTGCAGCCTGAACCGCTCCGGGCCGGGGTTAGAAACGCTGTGAGGTGCTGCCACCTGCTGGCGACGACCCCAGGGCTGAGCCTTTCACACTCTGTGGCCCCGGCTCCCAGGCCTGAGGCTTCACATGAAAGTAGCACACGGATGCCCGGCTGGCATGGCTCGGAGGCTGAGTGCCACTCACCCTGTGAACCCGGAGGCCAGGGTTCGATTCCCGGGCAGGGCACAGGCCCGGGTTGTGGGCTCGCTCCCCAGTGGGGGGCATGCAGGAGGCCCACGATTCTCTTTCACGCCCCCTTCCTCTCTGAAGTCAATAAAAATGTGTGTGTGTGTGTATATATATATATATATATATATATGTATATTTTTTTAATTATTATTTTTAAAAAAATATATTTTATTGATTTTGTCCAGAGAGGAAGGGAGAGAGATAGAGAGTTAGAAACATTGATGAGAGTGAGTCATCAATCAGCTGCCTCTTGCATACCCCCTACTGGGGATATGCCCGCAAACAAGGTACATGCCCCTGACCGGAATCGAACTCGGGACCTTTCAGTCCCCAAGCCGACGCTCTATCCATTGAGCCAAACCAGTTTTGGCTATATATATATTTTAATGTATTTTATTATTGTTTTACCGAGAGGAAGGGAGAGGGGTAGAGAGTTAGAAACATCGATGAGAAAGAAACATTGATCAGCTGCCTCCTGCACACCCCTCACTAGGGATGGAGCCCACAGCCTGGGCCTGTGCCCTGACCGGGAATCGAACCCTGACCTCCTGGTTCACAGGTCGATTGGGAGCTTCTGGGCCCTGGGTCGGCCTGTGAACAACCCTCTGACCACAGGCCTCGGGTCCGTCCCCGCGCTCCTGGCCCAGACCCTCGCCGGCTCCATCTTTTTCCTCCCCTTGCTGCGCCCTGTTTTTCCTTCCTCCTCCCCTCTCCCCCTCTTCTTCCTCGCCCTCGGTCCTGGCTGGCTGGAGCGGCTGAATCTCCGTCCGGATCGGTGTGCGGACAAAGGGGCACCTTCCGCCCGCCCGCGGCGCCCCTGAATTATTCAGCGCCGGCCTCGGGTTTCCGCCTCTTCCCCAGGACACGTGCGAGCGGGGAGGCCGTGGCGAGGGTGTGGGCTCCGCCGTCCGGAGGGCGGGCCCGGGGTTCCTCCTCTGAGTGGTGGGAGAGCAGGGAGTCCTCCTTACGGCGGGTCCCTCCTCGGGCCCCAGCACGAAGGGCCATGCTCTCTGGCCGGCGGGTGCTGGTCCGCACGAGAGGAGCCGGGAGGCTCTGCGGCCGAGGCTGCAGGGACCACTGGAGCCCGGGGCTGGCCTGGGCCTGGGCCCGGCCCAGCGCGGACGGACCCCTGGATGGAGCGAATGTCCTCAGAGCCTTCTTTCTTTGTGCTTTGTGCCTCTCGCTCACCCTCCTCCCTCCCCCACCAACCCCGACCCTGGCAAATCTTTTTTCCTTCTTAAATTTTTTTATTGATGTCAGAGAAGAAGGGGGAGGGAGAGAGATGGAAACATCCATGATGAGAGAGAACCACGGACCGGCTGCCTCCTGCACGCCCCCCACTGGGGATGAAGCCCGCACCCCGGGCCTGTGCCCTTGACTGGAAATGGAACAGAGACCGCCTGGTTCACAGGTGGACGCTCAGCTGCTGAACCACGCCGGCCGGCGCTCCTGGCAGACCTGCCGCTTACGGCTTTAAAGGGGACGCGCCCAGAGCGGGTCTCACGGGTGTAGAGGGGACAGGCAGCCCGGCGTGGGCTCCTGCCTCGGAGCCCATCCCGGAGAGAGGAGCCGCCGCCCACCGATAGCCGGACGCGGGGAAGCCGAGAGGAGCCGGGCGCTGTAAGCCGATGCTGCCCCGGGCAGGGCCATCTGCGGAGTGGCGGCCGGCGTGGCTGCTGGGCGGGCCCCGCCCCACACCCCCTCCCACGGGCCCTCGGTCCTGCCCTCTGAGCCTCCTGAGAACCAGAGGGGCCTCCCCTCGTTCTCTGTCGGTCTGGTTCTCAGCCAGTCCCTGTGGCCGCAGGCAGGAGAGCCCCCGCCCCGCCCCCCGCAGGCCTGACCGCGGCCCTCGCTCTGTGGCGCCGACCCTGCCTGCGGCCACTCCTGAGTCAGGGATCCGGCGTGAGCGGAGCCAGGAGTCGTTGGGGCCGGGGTGATGCTCACGGGAGAGCAGCCCTGCATTGAGGGGAAGCGGGGCTGAGCATCGACCGGTGATCCAGGGGGTCAGGGTTCGATTCCCGCTCAGGGCACAGGCCCGGGTTGCGGGCTCCCTCCCCAGTGGGGGGCGTGCAGGAGGCAGCCGATCCGTGATTCTCTCATCATTGATGTTTCTCTCTCTCCCTCTCCCTTCCTCTCTGACATCAGTGATTTTTTTTTTTAAAGAAAGGAGTCAGGAAAAGCAACCGAGGACAGAGGTCAGCCACTGCGAAGCGCGTCTGGGTGGCCACAGGCCGTGTTCACAGCACGGTGCCCGCCCGCCCCTCCTCCCGCCTGCTCTCCCCGTCCCAGGGCCTCTCTGCCCGCAGACACACGCTCAGACCCCCGGCTGGGACAGTCACCCCGCAGCCCGTCCAGTCCAGCCGCTTCCTGGGGCCACGCAGCCGCCGGGCCCGCCCTCCCCGGACACGTGTGCTGAGGAGGCCAGACTGCCCGCTCCGTGTCGGGCTTGGAGCAAACACACAGGAACACGCATGACGAGGCAGGAAGCACATCCCAGCCCCGGACGCCAGCTGGGCACCGAAGTACAATTTCTCCAAAGTACCAGGCCTTTCCCTCACGCCCCCAGTCCTAGGTCCCTGAGGCCGGCGGCTCCGGCAGAGGCCTGGCCCTGAGTCCGCGTGCCTGGGCCTGTGCCCTGACTGGGAATCGAACCCTGACCTCCTGGTTCACAGGTCGACGCTCAACCCCTGATTGGGAGCTTCTGGGCCCTGGGTCGGCCTGTGAACAACCCTCTGACCATAGGACTGTTCAGTGGGAGGCGGGAGGGACCGGCGAAGCCCGAGGAGGGCCCGCTCCTCCCGTTGTTCTGGGAAGGGGGAGGTTTGGGGGGGCAGTTCCTGCTGTGCAGAGTGGGGGGATGGGGCTCCTTTGGACCCCCGGGGGCAGAAGGCCCCGAGCTGGACCGTGACCTGGCTGCACCGTGGCCTGCCTCCCGGCTCACCTGCCTGCACCCACCTCCGTGGCGGGCTCACACGGGGCGGCTGTGACGGCTGAGTGACCGCGGGCCCGGCACCGCCCGCTGTGCGTGGGGCGGGGCACACGACGGGTCCCGGGATGTTTAACCAGCAGGCAGCTCCCCACCCAGGGCGAGCACGGTCACTCAGAGATCAGCATCCCCTTTTCCGGAAAAGCCGGGGAGGCCGTGACCGCTCACACCACCCTCAGAGACACGGCCATGACCGGCCCACGGCGCCCTCCGGGGGCGGGAAGGCCGTCCCCTGCGCCAGTCTCCGCCGCTCCCTGCCGCCTCCCGGGCCCGGGCCACAGGCAGGTAACGGACCCTCGTGGCTTCCGTGGTTCTGCTCAGGACGCGAGCGGGAGCCGGCCCCCTGCCGCGGCACAGCCCCTCTCCCCTCCCCCCCCACACCCCTCCACGCCCCCTGCCCCTCCACGGCCCCCACGCCCTCCACGTGCGTGCTCGGACGCCTACCCCACTCGCCCGTGGAATTGGCTGGTGTCTGAGATGGACAGACCGGCCCTCCGTGGGCTCACACCCAGCTCCCCGTGGGCAGCTCGGGAGGCCTGTGCTGGGGCTTCCGTCTCGTTCCTTCCGCCCTGAACCCCCCTCGGCCTGCACCCCCGCTCGCCAAGAGGACCGCACGTGCGGGGGGCACTTCGCTGGCCATAGGACAGGGCCTTCTAGAGGGACGGGCCCGCCCCGGCTGGTGCTGCTCAGTGGGCAGAGCGTCGGCCTGCGGACCGAAGGGTCCCGGGTTTGATTCGGGGGTTGCAGGCTCCTCCCTGGCCCGGGCCCTGGTCGGAGCCACGCTGGAGGCAACCGATGGATGTGTCTCTCTCACGTCGATGTTTCTCTCTGCCTCTCCCTCTCTCTCTCCTCCGCTCTTTCTAGAAGATCAATGGAAAAATATCTCTCCCTTAATAAAAAAATAAAAAGATGGGAATAAGTTAGAAAGGGAAGGGGACCCAAAGCCCCCAGCGCGTCGCGGGTCTGGCTGCCTCGCCGGTCCCCGCGGCTCAGCCCTCGCCGCCCGGTCATACATCTCCCCGGCCCCCGGCCCCGGCCTGTCCCGGCCACGCGTTCCCACCCGCCCGGAGCCCCTGCTGCTCCTGGAACCATGGATTCGGTTCCCTCCGGCCAGGGGCCAGGGTGCGGGGGCGAGGAGGAGGAGAGGCCACGGTGGGGACACAGTTCGGCGGGACAGGGGCGGCGAGGGGGTGTGGGGGCGGCGGGCGGCGGGGGCCGCTCCGGACACTCACGGTTGAGCTGCCGCCTGCGGATGCGGTCCCTCCATGGCCTGTTGCGGACCCAGTGCAGCCGGGAGGGGAGCACCATGGTCCCGCCTACGGCCTCCTCATGGCAGGGGGGCAGCCGGCGAGGCCGGACGTTCACGATCAAAGAGAGAAGGAGACCCTCTCCGCCGTCATGTCCGAGGCTTCCGGGCGCCGGCCTCTGCCTCCTCCCGGCTGCGGCCGGCCCGGGGCAGCTGCGGGCGGGCGGGCGGCCCCGGGGCCATGTTTTATGCATGAAGGCGGCGGCGGTAACTTATCCCGGCGCCCGCGTCACAGGAGCCCTCGGCAGCGGGGGGAGGGCAGGTGCGTCCACGGGAGGCAGGCTGAAAGGGGAGCCTCTGCTTCGGCTCCGAGGGCCCGGGAGGCGGCCCGGCTGCCAGGCCCAGGCCGGGAGCCCACGGGCTTCCTGCGTCCCGGTGCCCAGGGCGGGCCTGGTGGTGGAGGGGTGTGTGCAGCGAGACAGGCCGTGCAGGTGGAATGAAGGGGTGGCTCCGTGGGCCTTCCCTGCTCAGGTCGCTGTCTGCAGAGGCATTCATTTCAACCTTCTCGCCCTTCCCACCGCCTCCCCCTGCCTTCCCGTTCCTGCCTCACTGTCCCTCCACGGAGCTCATGGCTGAGAGCTTTGCTTCGTTTGCTGGCCCGTTTTTGGTTTTGTGTTTTCAAGAAAGGAAGGGAGAGGGAGGGAGAAATAGAAACATCGATGATGAGAGAGAGTCACTGATCCGCTGCCTCCTGCTCACCCCTCCAGGAGGTCGCTGGTTTGATTCCCGGTCAGGGCACAGGCCCGGGTTGCTGGCTCCATCCCCAGTGCGGGGCGTGCAGAGGGCAGCCAGTCCACGATTCTCCCTCGTCATGGAGAGCGGGAGAGAGAGAGGGAAAGGCAGAGAGAAACGTCGACGTGAGAGAGACACATCGATCGGTTGCCTCCAGCGTGGCCCCCACCAGGGCCCGGGCCGGGGAGGAGCCTGCAACCCCAGAATCTCCCTCTCCCTTCCTCTCTGACACCTGTAAAATGTGTAAAAAGTAAATAACAATCACACAAGGGGGGCAGGACGTTCACTGGGAGTGAAGGCCGGTCGGGAAGGGGGCGGACGTGGCCGCCCTCCCGGCGGTGGGAACGGGCTCAGCTTTCAGAGGCTGCCTCGGCCTGCCACGCCCGCCCGCTGCAGCTGAGGGCGGAGGCGGGCTCCCCGGGGTGTCTGGGACCGGCCGCCGCCTCCGCCGAGTGGCAGGGCTGCCGCTCTGTCATGGCAGGTGCCCTCGGCGAGAGGACCGGCTGGTGTCAGGAAGGATGCTCCCGTGGACGGCACGCGGCTGCGTGCGCTCAGGCCTGACCTCAGCCAGGACCCGCCTCCGGCCACGGCCCTCCAGTGACCGGAGGAGACATCGCTGGTGAGTGGGATCGGAGCGAGTCCGGTCCCCAGCCCGGTCAGCAGGTCCCGGCCACCCCGGCGTGGCAGAGGACGGACATTCTAGCGCCAACGCCGCTCTGAGCTGGAAGCGGGACTGTTACTCAGATGCGAGCCCCGAGGAGCAGGAACACGTGCTCCCGATGCACGCACGCCCCAGGACTCGGGGTGCCGGGGACAGAGGCTGCCCCAGGTGGCCTGGTGACGCAGGCCTCCTGGCGTGGGGGTCAGGGCGGAGCGGCGTGGGCACAGCGGGCCAGGGGGACGTGGTCGGAGGTCTCTCTCCCATTCACCAGCTTGGCTTCTGGGAGCAGGTTCCTGCTCAGTGGTCCCCAGCAGCTCCCAGGTCTCCTAGCAACGGCTTAGGCAGGCGAGCCCCGCCTGCATCCCAGCCCCAATCCCAGGACTGCCTCTCATTGGCTCAACTTGGGTCACGTGGTCTCCAGGAACCAATCACTGCGACCTGGTCGATGAGGCTTAGGTGTGCCAATGGCTGGAGTTAGAACAGGGAAGGGAGGGGGGCCAGAGAGAGCAAGTGCTGGGCCCCCAGGAGAGGGGATTGGAGTCCTAGCAGGTGTGGCTCAGTGGATAGAGCGTCAGTCTGTGGGCTGAAGGATCCCGGGTTCGATTCTGGTCAAGGGCACATTACCTGGGTTGCAGGTTCTATCCCAGTGTGGGGTGTGCAGGAGGCAGCCAAGCAAGGATTCTCTCTCGTCACTGATGTTTCTCCCTCTCTCTTCCTCTCTGAAATCGGAAACATATATTTAAAACTGTTTTCCAGCCTTGGCCAGCGTGCTCAGTGGTTAGAGCACGGCCCCTCTCCTCCCCCAGGGAAGGCTGGAGGTGGGCACGTACCCGGTTGCAGGTTCCATCCCTCGCTCACATCAGTGTTTCTCTCTCCTTCCCTCCCTCCCCCTCGCCTCTCCCCTCCCTTCCACTCTCTGGAAATCAATGGAAAGAAAATATCCTTGCGTCAAGTTCGGCCCCAAAACTAAGTTATATACATATATATATATATATATATATATATATATATATAGAGAGAGAGAGAGAGAGAGAGAGAATATCACTGATCGGCTGCCTCCCCCAAGGCCACTACTGGGGATGGAGCCCACAACCCAGGCATGTGCCTTTGACCGGAATCAACCCAGGACCCTTCAGTCCACAGGCCAATGCTCCATCCACTGAGCCAAACCGGTTAGGGCCCAAAACTAAGTTTTAACCTCCTGCTCTGCAGATTCGGGGTGCATGCAGCGCTTCCCAGGAACCCCTGGGGGCCTGGGCGCCGCCCCGCTCTGCTTGGATTCCCCAGGGGCGCGGGATCTTGCGTGGGAGCGGCGGGCCCCGGGCCCCACCTCCCCGAAAGGATCCAGAAAGGGCGGCCCGGGAGCCAGCGAGCGGGGGATGTGGTCTCTCGCGCCACCTGCCGGCCACATCGGCCCATTGCAGTCCTCGCCGGCGCCCCGCTGCCAGGGGAGGGGACGGCTCAGGAGGAGAACAGATCTGATCTGATCCGGGAAAATGAAATCTTCCAGGCGCCTTCAAACCACCGTTTCTCTGGCTTTTCCTGTTTCCAGAGCGGGGCCCTGAGATGCGAGATGGCAGCAAAGCCCAGCACCCCGGCACCCCTGACTGCACACCGGCGCCCCACCAGCGGCTTTAAGACCTTGGGGGCTGTTTGGGGCCTGGCGGATCCTGGTTGGCCGCCTGAGGACAAACTTCCCTCCTGCCAGGTGGCCTCTGCGTCGTCCTGGTGGCGTGGCCGTACGGAGTGGCTGCACGCCGGGTGTGTGTGGCAGGTGGGCGTGCAGGCAGGACTGGGTGTTGGAGCTAGTTGTGCCAAGGATGACGTCATGGCTTTTGGTTGAAGTCATGGCAACTGTGGAGAGTGGCCACAGCGTTTGGACAGGTTCAAGCCTGGGACTCGTGAGAGGGCACGGTCCTCGCGTGACAAAGCCCCCGTGCAAGTCCCAGCATGGTAACAGCCAAAGGCAGTGGCTGTGAGCCTGACCTTATGGTCCGAACCCGTGGCCCCACGTGGCTGAGTGAAATGGGCTGCAGGAGGTGCAGCCAGGTAACAAAGCTTGACCAGGTGCGTGTGGTTGAGTAGATTCGAACCAGCCAGAACGTTGTAACCATCTTGACCACGCCCTTACCTTGCCCCGTGGGATCTGCTGTGCAATAAAGACTCGGCCTGCAGACCGTGGCGCTGTCTCCCCAGCTTTATTCCCTTGTCTGTCTTTTCTCAGTCCCTCACCGCCCCCTCTCAGGCTCACCCATGGCTGTGCCGGCTCGGCACAGGAAATAGCCCGAGGTTGGAGAAAGTGCAAGCACGCAGGTGTGTGGGGGCACGCAGGCAGGAAAGAACCACCTGGGGAAGAAGTGAGGCCACGCAGGTGACAGCAGGGAACCGCTGGATCTCAGGAGGAGGACGAAGGTCGGCCTGGGGGCTCTGCCTATGAGCATCTGCCTGTGAACCAGGAGGTTGCGGTTTGATTCCTGGTCAGGGAGGGCTCATGCCCAGGTTGCAGCTCCATCCCCAGTAGGGGGCGTGGAGGAGGCGGCCAATCAGTGATTCTCTCTCATCATGGATGTTTCTCTCCCTTTCTCTCCGAAATCAATAAAAATATATACTTTTCAATCCCCGGGGAAAGTAATGTACAAATTGTCTCCCTGAAGTGTCGGAGCCGTGGGCGTGCTGGTGGGATTGTAAGTCCCGGGCTTACCTTGGCTTCTGGGCTGATAAAGAAATCAGGGCCCCCCATCACTGGCAGAGCGCACCACCGTACAATGTTTATTTTGGAATATCTGCGTCCTATCTGGCTGGGAATTGGAATTTAAAAATCCTCTAAAAATGCCGAAACCGATTTGGCTCAATGGATAGAGCATCGGCCTGCGAACTGAAGGGTCCCGGTTCAATTCCGGTTGAGGGCATGGACCTTGGTTGCGGGCACATCCCCAGTGCGGGGGTGTGCAGGAGGCAGCTGACCGATGATTCTTTCTCATTGATGTTTCTAGCTCTCTATCCCTCTCTCTTCCTCTCTGTAAAAAAAAAAAAAAAATCAATAAAATATATTTAAAAAACAAAACAAAACTAACTTAAAAAAACAAAAACAAAAACCCCACAAACACCTGTTAGATATTTCTCGCTAAAAAAAAAAAAAAAAAAAAGCTTTCTTTCGATCCCCATGCTCTTCTCGGTTCCTCGTCGGGGTTGGCTTGCTCTGGTCCCTGGCTCTTTAGGATGGAGTTTCCTCACCTGTCAGTGCTCCTGGCATGTCCGTGTTTCCCAGGAGGTGCAGCATAGCTGAGCCTCGGTTGGAGCTCACATGAGAGAGGGGCCTGGCTTTGTCCGGGGCAAACCCCCACAGGCCAGCGGCCACAGGGGCTGTGCTCGGGACAGCCGCCTCGGAGGGCCGTTCTCCAGCCCGCTGGGCTGCCGGGAAGCATGGCCCTGCTTGTGTGCTGGGCTCTGGGGAGCCGGGCGGGGAGGGGAGTGAGAGCCTTTCCGTGGAGGAGAGAGCTTTTCCCTCCGCCCCCTCTTCTCCCTGAGGGTGACTTCTCCCTTTCCCCCTCCGCCCTCCCCAGGTTCAATGTCGCCAAAGGGTAGGCCTGTGACCTGGGGCAGCTGTGCGGGGTGGGAGCTGCGGGGCTGTGCAGGTGGAGAAGGGGTGGAGGAGGGGGGACTCCCTGCGTGCCTTCCCGGCGCCCCCTGCTCCTGTTCTCCGGGCGTTTGCGGGTCTGCATTCAGAGACCGTGTGTCTGGTTCCTAAGCTTTGTCGCGGGTTCTGCTACAGCCATCAGCTGGCTTTATTTTATTATTTTTCTTTTCTTTTTCTTTCTTCCCTCTGGCTCCAATGGCGTCTTTCCCAGGTCTGGTAAGTCAGTTACCATCCCTCCCCTGGCTCTCCAGTTTCCCACATGTGGGCTTTAAAAATACAGATTTTTATTAAACCTCAGAGCAGAAGGGAGAGGGAGAGAGGGAAGAGACATCAATGATGAGAATCACTGATCAGCAGCCTCCTGCACGCCCCACCCTGGGGATTGAGCCCGTGACCCGGGAGTGTGCCCTTGACTGGAATTGAACCGTGACCTCCTGGTTCATAGTTCGGTGTTCGGCCACTGAGCCACGCCGGCCGGGCCCATATGTTGACTTTTCTTGTTTGCTACTGTCTCCTATCTTCCTCCTCGGGCGTGAATTCATGTTTACTATGAGGCGATATACTACTTGTGGAGCAGGTTTGGACAGACAGAGAAACTGGGCAGAAGGGAGTTTCCACATACACTCAGGCACCGTTTAACGACGGGGATACATCCTCAGACCACGTGACATCAGGTGGTTTTGTCGTGTGCAAACCTCATGGAGGCGGTGAGGCAAGCTTAGGTGGTCTAGCCCGCTGCACACCGAGGCCGTGAGCTCTAGCCTCATGGTCGGCAAACCGTGGCTCTTGAGCCACAGGTGGCTCTTTGCCCCCTTAAGTGTGGCTCTTCCACAAAATACAACAGCCTGGGCGAGTCTATTTTGAAGGAGTGGCATTAGAAGAAGTTTAAGTTTAAAAAATGTGGCTCTCCGCCAAGACTGGTTTGGCTCAGTGGGTAGAGCATCAGCCTGCGGACTGAAAGGTCCCGGGTTCGATTCCGGCCAAGAGCCTGTGCCGTGGTTGCGGGCACATCCCCAGTAGGAGGAGTGCAGGAGGCAGCTGATTGATGTCTCTCTCTCATCGATGTTTCTAACTCTCTATCCCTCTCCTTTCTTCTCTGTAAAAAAATAAAATATGTTAAAAATAAATAAAAAATAAAAAATGTGGCTCTCCAAAGAAATGTTACTTGTTGTCCTGTTGGAATTCGGCTCTGTGGACTAATGAGTTTGCCAACCACTGCCCTAGCCCATTGCTCCTGGGCTGTTGTCCTGGATACCAGCCTGAGCAGCCTGTCACCGTACAAAACAGCGTGAGATCAAATCCAGCAGTAGCGGGTACCATGGCTGCTGTTTACAGCAAACCTTAGAACGAGTCCGTGGAACATGACGATCACCTTCTAGTACAGGAAATGCCTCAACACGGTCCCGCAATACCAAGTCCTGTACCCAGTCGGATCCGAACACTCTACCCAGCGGGCAGTGCGGTGGGCGGGTTTACACTTCACTGCAAACCGTGGGGACCGTTGGCGCCATCGGGCCAGCGGCTAGGTCCGGAGGTGATGGCGTGTTTAGCTCCGTTGTGATCCAAGGGACCAGGTCCTGCGTGGAGGAAAGGTGGCTAGGACTGCACGTGGGCAGGAACGTGTGCCCGGGAACCAAAGCTTCTAGTTTTCCGAGGTGACTTCCTCCGTCCCTGTTACATTTGTTGCTAGTGTGTTGGCTTGGAGGTTCCGGGGTGGCTCAGTGGGTGGAGCGCAGGCCTGCGGGCTGCAGGGTCCGCTATTGGATTCCCCGTCCGGGCACATGCTGGGGTTGTGAGCTCCATCGCCAGCAGGGGGCGTGCAGGAGGCGGCCGATTGATAATTCTGTCTCATCATTGATGTCATCCCCGCTGAAATCAGTAAAACTTCAACACACCCCCTCCCCCCGCGGGCCCCCAGGAAGTAAGGCGGCCGGAGGGCGCCCCCCGTGTGCCGGGCCGCGTTCTGTGCGGGTGGAGCCCGGGGGCCTTGGAGGGAGGATGGCCCCATCCCCGCGCTGGTTCCGGGTGAACGGAGGTCCCGCGGGTGCCGGGCACTGTCTCCCGCGTCCGCAATCCCGCGCGCCACGTAGTTGGCGCCTCGCTCCTCGCGCCGGACGGAAAGCCAACCCCGCGGCCGGGATGGCCCGGCGCAGGGCGTGGGGAGGCTGAGCCCGGAGCCCAGACGCCGGTTTCCGCGCGGCACCTGCGGCCGCCCAGCGCCCGGAGCTCTGCCCGAGGGCGACGGCCCCGGCCCGGCCCCGGCGTCCCGCTCGCAGCCAGCAGGGGGCGCCCGGGCCCGCGCGCGCCCCGCCAGGCGCGAGGCCCCGGGGTGGGGAGCGAGGCTGGGACCCGGGCCCAGGCGCCACCTCCGAGGTCCCGGCGGTGTCCGCTCGGTGCGCCCCCCGCGGGAACCGGCGCCGGGACGCCCAGGCCCCGGGGACGGCGCAGGGCCGCTCTGGCGAAGTGGGAGGAGATCCGAGAGGAGGGGAGAGGGGAGAGGGGAGGAGAGGAGGAGAGAGGGAAAAGGAGGAGAGAGGGAGGAGAGAGGGAGGAGGAGGAGGAGGAAGAGAGGGGAGGAGGAAAGAGGGAGAAGGAGGAGGAGGAAAGAGGGAGAAGGAGGAGGAGGAAAGAGGGAGAAGGAGGAGGAGAGAAAAGGAGGAGAGAGGGGAGGAGAAGGAGGAGGAGGAAAGAAGGAGGAGGAGGAGAAGGAGGAGAAGGAGGAAGAGAGGGGAGGAGGAAAGAGGGAGAAGGAGGAGGAGAGAAAAGGAGGAGAGAGGGGAGGAGAAGGAGGAGGAGGAGGAAGAGAGGGGAGGAGGAAAGGGAGAAGGAGGAGGAGACGCAGCGGGAGGAGCAGGGAAGGCGGCCGCGCTGCGCCCGCCCAGCGGAGCCGCGGGAGCGCCGGGAGCCCCCGCCCCGCCGCGCCGCCCCCGCCTCCCGCGCCTTCCGCCCGCACCTCGGGCCGTAGGTGCGCCGATCGGTCGGCGGAGCAGCCCGGCCCGTCGGCTCCCGGCTCTGCGTCCATCAGCCCCTCCGTCGCCGCGGGAGCTGCCCGGAGGCGTCATGTAGCCGCAGCCGCGACCCTCCGGCGGATCGGCAACTACTTACTTATTTGTATTTGTTTTTGGGGAGGGTGTCGGGGCGCGGCCACACCTCCCCGGCCCGCCTCCGCGCGCCTCCCGTCCGCGCGCCGCGCCGCCTCTCCCAGCCGCGGGTCGGGGAGCGCGGGCGGCGGGGCCCCGCGCAGGAGCCATGGCGGAGGACGGCGCCGAGGTGCCCCGCGAGCTGACAGGTGAGGCCCCGCCCGGCCGGGATCCCCGGGAAGTTCGCTCGCGTCGGGCGCCCAGGAGCCGAGTCCCGGGAGGCCGGCGGGGAGCGATCGGAGCCCGGCGCCGCCTCGGGCCGCCGCCAGGGGGTGCAGGCCGGCGGGGGTGGGGGGTGCCCGGTCTGCGGAGGCGAGGGGACCCCTCACCGCGCCCGCCCGCGGCCCCCCTCGGGGTGTGCGGGGCGCGGGGCGCGCCGGAGGGGCCGCCGGCAGGTCCCCCCGCGCCCGCCGGAGTCCCAGCCGGAGGCGCCCGGCCAACCCGCAGCCCCGGGGAGGGGCGCGGGCTGGGGTCCGGACTCCGCCGGGGAGGCCGGGCCTGGGCTGGGCGCCGGGAGCGAAAGGGTCACCGGCTGCGCGGACGGGCGGAAGCCGGCGGGGCGCGGAGTCCGGTTTTCATGGTAACGAACCACCTGGGCCCGCCCGTCCCGGAGCCTGCGTGGCACCTGGTGCCCGCGCCCGGGTCCGAGCGCCCGGGCTTCCGTGTGGGGAGCGGTGGGGGCTCCGTGTTATGCCTTGGGGTCAACTTAAGTTTTGTGTGTGTGTTGTATTGAGAATGAGTGAGTGTGTGTGTGTGTGTGATGTATTGAGAGTGTGTGTGATGTAGTGTGTATGTGTAGTGTAGTGTGTAGTGTGTGTAAGGTGTATTGAATATGCGTGACCTAGTGTGTACTCGTGTGTGATGTATGGAGTGTGTGTGCGCCTGTGTGATGTGTGATGTTGCACTGTGGGTGCGTGTGCTTTGAGCCCCGGGGACCTGAACCCCCAGGTCCCATTACTGGCGCCTGGCCTGCGGGTGTCCTTCCGGCTCCTGCCCAGGAGGGGTTCGCCGCCCCCGCTTTCCCCGCCCCCTGTAGCCCCAGCACTTTGGGGAGTCTGCGGCGGCGTGCGGTGTGTGTGGTGTGAGATGCATGGAATGTGCGCGCTCCTCTGTCAGGTGAGCCTGACCGGAAGGGCTGCCGCCAGGTCCGAGAGGGCGCTGCTTGTGCACGGATTTCGTTCGGGTCTGGAGTCTCCCTCCGCCCGCCTCTCCCCCGCCTCCTCCCTCTGTCCGGCCGGTGGCGTCGGCCCGCAGATAAGAATCAACTCCCTGGGCTCCGGGGAGCCAGCGAGCGGTCTGTCCGGTTCTGGAGGCCGGGACCTTCCCCACACCTCCCACACCCCGCCCCGAAGAGGAAGCGCTGGGGTCCCCGGCTGCCCGTGGAGGTCCCAGGTCCCGGGAAGAGGGGACCAGGGCCCCTAAGGGGTGGTGGTGTGGGGGGAGGGCCGACTTCCCAGTCAGCTGCGGAGCCTGCAGGGAGCGTGGCCACTGGGACCCCAGAGAGAGGCTGAAAACACTCCAGAGACCTTGAGTGGCAGCTGCACATCCCCAAAGGAGTGCAGCCCCCAGACCCGGTGCAGGGCCTAAGGAAGGGTCACTGCGTAGGGAGGGGCGGGGCTGAGGCCGGAGGTCGGGAACTTGGTCTTGGTGAGAGGTTCTGAGGCCTGGAGGGTCGAGGCCAGGGGTCAGGAGGTGTTTAGGAGGGAGTTTGGGGGAGGGGAGACTTGGACACTGTGTGCTGAGGAGGAAGCTGTCTAGCCGTGGCTCTGTCCAGGGTGGGTGCTCATGGGGAGTCCCAGGGAGACCTTCCTGCCACCATCCACATTGCCAGGCCTCCCCTTCTCTCTCAAGCCTCCAGGTCTGCTGCATATATTTCCATTGATTTTTAGAGAGAGGGAGAGGAAGAGACAAGAGAAAAACACTGATGTGAGAGAGACACACTGATTGGTTGCCTCCTGTATGAGTCCTGACCAGGGCATGGGAACTTGCAACCAAGGCACGTGGCCTTGACCGGAATTGATCAGTTGGCAGGCCTATGCTTATCCACTGAGCTACACCATCCAGGGCATGAAACCAATAATATATATATAAAAATAAAACAAGCAAATACCTTATAAAAGGCCAACAGCAACAAAACACCCAAATCCTCCTCCAAATGCCCCCGCCCCCAGCGCTGTTGTCACTAGAGGATGCTGACGAGTCTGCCTTCTTCCAGAGAGCATCAAGGACGTCCTCGGCAGGAAGGTCAGGATCGCCCTGAAGAAGAAGGTCAGGTTGGAAGTGAAAGGGGACAAGTTGGAAAACAAGGTGCTGGTAAGTGCTCCGGCTCTTTGGGGAAAGCCAGCGGAAGTGGAAGCGGCCCCCCCTCCGGACCGCCTCGCTGCCATGGGCCCTGGTCCTGTTTCACGTTTGGCTCACAAGTTCCCAGGACCGTGCTGCCCTGGAGTCCCCGGAGTGGGCGCGGGAAGTTCAGGTGGAGGGGCCAGACTGTTTCACAGCCGTGCTTTGTGGCGTGGAGCTGCGAGCATCGCTGTGTTTAGGCCATGAGCCTGCTTTCCCATTGGCCCCCCGAACCTGCTTTCCTATTGGCTCCCTCCCGGCCTGCTTTCCTATTGGCCCTCCCTCCAGCCTACTTTCCCATTGGCTCCCCCCTCCAGCCTGCTTTCCCATTGGCTCCCCCCTCCAGCCTCCTTTCCCATTGGCCCCCCCGAACCTGCTTTCCTATTCGTCAGTGCGGGATGCGCGGTGGACCATCCGGTCATCGCTGTGGCGGTGATGTGCGGTCTGATTGGTGAGGATGTAGGAAGAGGTTTCCTCAAAGAAAATGGCCTGGGTCGGCTCGGGATTGAATGAGCTTTTTCCCCAAAGGCGGTGCCCGCGTCCGCCTCGTGGGTGAGGAGTGGGAACGGGAGAAGGTCTTGGCGGGAGGTGCCCGCTGGGGGCGGCGCCTGTGGGGGCCGAGATGGACCTCGGGGTTCTGGCCACGTTGCTGGGGGCTGAGGGGTGGGACTCGCGGGGCACAGCTGGTCACTATAATGAAGTTAGCGCCATTTTAGTACTCAATGCCAAGCTTTTTTTTGGTGGGGGGAGAAAATGGGGGGGTCCCTCTTGACCTCAGCTGGCTCCGGTGAAGGCGGTAAGGAAATGACACCAGCGCCGGGATGTGAGTGATGATCCCGGGGACCTGGACTCTGAGCAGATCCTCGAGTCCCCGCGGAAGCTGTCCCTGCGGGAACGCTTCCCTGCACGAGCGGGAAGGGTTGTATAATAGAAATATTCACGGTCCCTTGCCGAAGCCGGTTTGGCTCTGGTAGAGCGTCGGTTTGCGGATTGAAAGGTCCCAGGTTCTATTCCGGTCAGGGGCATGTACGTTGGTTGCGGGCACATCCCCGGTAGGGGGTGTGCAAAAGGCAGCTGGTCGATGTTTCTCATCTACATTTCTAGCTCTCGATCTCCCTTCCTCTCTGTAAAAAATCAATAAAATCTATTAAAAAAAGATATTCACGATCCCACTAGCTTCAAGTTTGAGCCGGACGGCCTACGCATTAGCTGCCTTTAGGTTGTGGATTTAGGAGTCCCTGCATTTTGAGAAAGCCGGTTACTCATTTGCTTACGTGAGACATTGGGGACCGCCTTGTCATTGGCATTTCTGACTTCCTGTTGGCCCTTAGGTCACGAATGAGCTGGCCCGGTACTTTCCAGCTTTCTTTCCTGAGTCTGTGCCTCCCCTGCACACCTCCCTCCCGCAGGGTGGTCTTTGCAAAGTCAGGAGGGTGTTATGTCGTTACTTGCTTCTGGTTCTCCCACCAGGAGATTTTACACCACTTCCAGCTTATCTTTTGCTCAGGGTTTATCTTCTCCCTCCTTCTCACCGCCATCGGAGCTAATATTTATTGAACATTGACCGGTGGCGAGGCCAGGCTGTGGGCGGAACCCTTAATTATGCATTTCCTTGTTCCATCCCAGCAGCCCTGTGGGGCCAGCACTGCTTACTTCACTGGAAGGACTGGAGAGCTGAGGGAACTTGCTTCCTGTCACCCAGCTAGTTAATGGCTAGTTAAGGACTAGTTAATAACAGTCAGCTGTGCCTTACGCAAAGCCTGCCTGCTTCGCCACGTGCTCAGAGTTAGAAGAATTTGGCTGGTCCTTCTGAGGTTGCGGATTTTCAGCCCTCTTCAGGGAGACTTGGGTCTTAGATCGGCATCCCTGATTATTTGATTTGATCTCCTTGATCCATGTATTAACTTGTTCCTGACTCTCTGAGCACCCACTGTGTGGCATGTACAAAGTGCACGTAGATTCTAACTACGTGCACTTTGTACAATATATTTTACTGATTTTTTACAGAGAGGAAGAGAGAGGGATAGAGAGTGCCTTCATGGGACTCAGAGCTCAGTCTAGTGGAAGGCACACACGCCAACAGGCAGCGCTGGGACATGTGCCCCGAACACGGGGACCGCTGCTCATAGAGGGGCCTTAACTCAAGCCGGAGGGAGGGTCGGGGGTGACTCCCAGAAAAGGGGGATGGAGGCCCACACCGATGGGTGGGTCAGCCAGCCAAGGGTAGATGCCGTGTCCAGAACAAAGGGAACCGCGTGGGCCTGGAGGCAGGGGGCGGGGGAGAGGGGGAGCTCAGAGTGTTAGGGACCCGTGCAGAGGGCTCCCTCTTCTCCTGGCGGCTAAAGTGCAGGTGAAAGGTGGGGCAGGTTAGACAGGTGCCTTCTCCACACCCGTGTCCATTGCCATTCCCCCCTCCCCCCTCCCTCCTCCATCCCCCCTCCCTTCCCGGGGAGGAAGTGGGCCCAGCGCTGAAGGCCTTGGAGCCAGACCTGCTCTCCCCTGCCCAGCTCCTTGCAACAATGTCGCCCCCAGTTTGCAACAATGTTGCCCTCAGGCCGCTCTCCCTGTAGCACCTGCTCCTGTATGGGTCTGTAAGCCCAGGCTCTGGAGATTAACTGGGACACAGTGAATTCTGCTGAGCATAGCGCTGAGTTCATGGGAAACTCCGGGCAGAGAAAGCCCAGAGAAGCGGGGGTGGGGGTGGGGTGGGGATAGGGAGGGGTGTCTTGCCTCCACTGAGGGGTGGCGCTCATTCTCCCCGAGGCCAGGAAGGCCTCGTAGCAGCGTGGATGCACCGAACAGACCCCAAATCCCCACGGTGTCCTTTGGGCAAAGAAACCAGGTGCCCATGTGCCCAGGGATCACCTGAGCTTGTCCATCAGGATGTTCGAGATAAACCAGTGGCTGCTGTGGGGCGTGCCCAGCCGCTAACACACCTGTGAGGTTTCTAGGGATGAGGGAGAGGATGCATCTTCTCTAAGCTGATTGGTCCAGAGCCCCCTTGGCCGTGGGGGTTGGGGGGCGAGCGGCCTGGCCAGCTGGCGTGGGCTCCCACCTGAGGCCTGCCGTCCCGGGAATGGCCCTCGGGCCCTGTCCTGTGTTCCTGTGTATTCCCTTCTGCCGTCAGCTAATTGGATCTCCGCCCACTTTTGTCAGGACCCGGACTTTTGTTTTTTAAAATATGTTTTATTGATTTTTTTACAGCAAGGAAGGGAGAGAGAGAGAGTGTGTTAGACACATTGATGAGACACATTGGTCAGCTGCCTCCTGCACACCCCCCGCTGGGGATGTGCCTGTAACCCAGGTACATGCCCTTGACTGGAATCGAACCTGGTACCCTTGAGTTTGAGACGCTCTATCCACTGAGCCAAACCAGTCAGGGCAGTACCCTGACTTTTAAACATGCCTTTTAATTGATGAATTCTTTTAAGATGGGACTTTCTGCTTTTCTATAGTTGTAGGTTATGTGAGGTTATAAGGAACAACACAGGAACGCCCTCGTCCTGTCTCCGCTACCGTGTGAAGCTGTGACACAGCGTCATGCCAGCGCCTGTCCCCAAGGGCAGTGCCCTCCCTCACCACGCCCCGCACCCTCACTCAGCCTCATCGCCACTCAGCTGTTTTATAATGTTCAAAAATGTGTGCTTCTGTTGATTTCAGAGAGGAAGGGAGAGGGAGAGAGGGAAACATCAGTGATGAGAGAGAACCATGGATCGGCTGCCTCCTGCCTGCCCCCCACTGGGGATGGAGCACACAACCCGGGCCTGTGCCCTGACCAGGAATCAAACCCTGACCTCCTGGTTCCCAGGCCAACGCTCACCTGCTGAGCCACGCCGGCTGGGTTTATCCTTGATGTTTCTATCTCTCTTCCCCTCCCTGCCTCTCTGAAATCAATAGTTTAAAAAAATCAAAAACATAACTTTCCCCGGAGCTCGTAAAGCAGTGGTAGTTTAAGAGTGTACGTGCATTTCGCAAGTTTATTGTTCAAGTTGAAGTGGCAGGAGCCCAGTCAGCGGTTTCCGGGGCCGCTTGGGTGAATGGCCTTAAACCCTGGGCTTTGTCGGGGCTGCAGGGATGGAGGCGCCCCGTTCCCCAGCCAGCGGGCGGATGTGGGGGGGGGGTCAGAGGCAGCTCAGGCCGCCACCTCGGGACGCCCTCATGTCCCTGCCGACCTGCCAGAGCGCCCCTGGTGCCGCCCGCGTGCTGGACCTCCGCTGACCTTCCCGCCGGCATTTGCTGGTCGCGTGGCACCAGAAGAGGCTGCTGGGACTGCATGGCGGGCCACCCCCCCCCCCCCCCCGCGGCGCCCGGCCTGGTGGGGGTAACTTGAACGGTCCTCTTTGCGACACCACAGCAGCCTCGGCTTTTCGGGATCGCTTACGATCCAGGCCGGGTGGTTCTCGGGGCGCGGGGTGAAGTTACAGGCGGAGAAAACTGAGCTTGGGAAACGGGAGGCGCGGTGAGCCCCCTTGCTGCCAGGGTCCTGGCCAAGTCTTGGGGAGTTCGCCGTCCGTCAGTCCCATCGAGGGCCTCCGAAGGCACCCCCCTCAGAGCTCTGTCCCCTCCCCCGAGCCTGGCGGCCTGGGTGCAGCCCGCCTCCCCCCCACGGGCCAGGCCTCTCTGAACCTGCTACCTGAGCCCCATGACGTCCTCCTCTCTCTTCCCCAACTGCCCTACTTTCTGCGCCAGCCAGCGCGGGCGGGTCGGATGACCTTGGGCTAGAAGCCCTTGAACCTGGACCAGCCTGGTGTAACTTTTCCCTGTTCTTGAAAAGATAGGGTCGCCCCGCCCCTGGGATTTAGCCCCCTGGGACGTGGGGGAGGGGGAGGGGGAGGGGGAGGGGACGAGGGCCTGGAGGAGCCCGGAGACCTAATCAGAACGTGGAAGGAACAGGGAGGGACGCTGCTGTTGAAGTGACCGGACAGTCACACAGCGGCGCAGACAGGACACAAAGGCTGCATTCAGGCCGCAGC